TAAGCAGTCTCAAATCGACCTAGATGTGAAGTGGAATTTCTGAGACACAGTAAGCCACCATTGTATCTTTTAAATAAAACAAAGTCTATCAGAGGCAAAGCTTTGAAGAGGCTCACATTTTTTTATTTTTCAGGAAAAAAAAATAGTGAAATAGTGCTCTTGCTTTGCAGAGGAAAGAAACACTACCATTTAAGTGAAAGAAGAATACTAGTGTAGGACCTCAGCTTACAAACATTTACCTCTCCTTGGAAAACAAAAGAAAGATTTGCTATATCATTCAGAGACTGATAATGAAAAGGAAAAAAAGTCCATGCGGTGTAAAAAAAACAACATTTCAAAAATATGGGTTTTAAACTGGGGTTTATAAAACCACCAAGAAGATCCAGTTTGGTGAAACACTGGCACAGGTTGCCCAGAGAGGTGGTGGATGCCCCATCCCTGGAAACATTCAAGGTCAGGTTGGTTGGTCAACCTGATCTAGTTGAAGATGTCCCTGCTCATTGCAGGGGGGTTGGACTAGATGACCTTTAGAGGTCCCTTCCAACCCAAACTATTCTATGATTCTATGACCATTTTTACATTGATGGGAACAAAACAAAAATAAGGAACTTAAAAGATCCACCCCACCCCAAATTCCATAGTCTTATTTACAGGGAAATTTATGGTAATGTCTTCCTTTGCTATTTTTGTAGGAAGTCTAAAAGGCTAGCTGACAAAGAACCAAGAACACTTGCTATTCATGTGCTACATTTTTATTAAGAACATATAGGATGTCTTCGGGTAAGATGATGATGGTTGTGTTAGGATACCTGAAGATACTACAGGATTCTGGAGCAACTTAGGGAGCTAACCAATAATACATAAAAATCAATACTGGACTGGATTAGCATCATGGTACCTGTGACATTTTGCTGCTAAAGGTAAAATGTGAAAAGCAGTTAACTATCCATAGATAAGACTTGACAGTTAGTATAGAACCTTGTACCATTTAGGTCTATACCTAATATCTTATTTTCCACTAGTTCAAACCAGGAGAAAATAAGTAGATTAAGTGGAGGAAATAGCACTTTTGGACTCAATGGCTTTTATTCCTTCAGACTTTTATACCATATACTAGCTAAAAATCCCAAGATTTAGCATCCAAGATATTTAGTATCTGATAAATCTGATGTCACATTTATCTAAGAAAATATTGTGTCAATTCATACCACATTCTGAAAGAAAAATTGTCCCAAGGAAGAAGAGAGAGATCATAATGTGAGATTGCTCTATTAAATCAGTGACTTCCTAGAGGTTCCACTACTCCAGCTGCATCATAACCATGCAAACATGGACCGTTTCCTGTCTACATCCTGTTCCATAAAAGAGTTCACTTATTAATTATGATGATCTGTAACTACTGTGTATACTGCCAGAATTCCATCTTAAAGTACCTACTTCAATGCTTCAAATGAATACACTTAGCAAAATTTTCCACTTCTGGTCATAAGAACTGCAAGAAGAGACCTTCAGAGATTGGTAGCTCATGAAAGCAATTTCCTGTAACTCAGATGACACATGCTTCATATTCATTGCATTGCAGCTTATGGGCAAACATGGTGGAACAAAAAGTATTTCCTTTCATAAGACCAGAAGGGAAATGTAAAATGAGTTATGGCTATGTCCTTTTTTTTGGTAATTACTTAACAGTAATTAAACTCCCTTAAAACTAAACCCCACTGGGTTGTTAGCTGATAAAATACAGTCCTGTTCCTAAAATCTACTCCACAGACATTTTCATTAATGACATCTAGTATGATGTCATAGCTTGTTATCATGAGTTCCTTTATACTTCTGTTAAATAACCCTCTATCTGCTCGAAAGAACACTGTAGTTATAATCCTTCTAAACAACACAAGTCTATCTTCGGACTTACATCAAAAGATTGGGACTGGTCTACTTTCAATACCTGGCACTTAGTTTAACTTTATTACAAAAATCCCCTTTCCCCCAAAAAACAATTTACGCACACTGGGAAAAAAGATGTCTTTTGTTAAGTTAAAAAAATTCCATAGTCCCAAACAAAGCAAGAGCTGTACCCTAGAAGGCAGGCTTCGAAGACATCGAGAGAGAAAATTCCCTTCTATTTGTGTCCTCCTGGGCTACACACAATCTGGTCTCATCAGGCACAGGTGTGTCAATGTAAAAAGGTAAGCAAAATGGCACAAACGCAAATGCATGAAAGCAAGAAAACAATTTTAGAACATTGGTAACCCCTGAATGTTTTAGATATAGCAACTCCTATTTTAGGAGAAAAATACTACCATGAAAGAGAGTGATCATCATAGATATTGAAGAGCTTTTGCATAATGGCTGGGTTTTTATGCAAGATTAAGGGAAGAGTCCTATCAGTTGAACTTTACTACAGTTACATTACTTTCAATGTTGACATGCTTTTTCTAAAGGAAAGCTGTCCTTTTCTGGTTTAAAAGATAAACTACTCCAAGCAACATAAAATAAAGATAAAAGATTTCTGTTCTTGAACACCAGGGTCATCTACATAGGGATTTACACTAGTAATGAGTATATTCTGCTAGGGTATCGTGGTAATACACATTACCTAGATACAGAAAGACTAATAAGTATTGCACTTTCTGTAAGTATAAGGCAGTGTATTTTCAGTATTGTAAAATTTTTAAGGTGTACCGAGCACTGAAATGGGTTAGAAGGACAGGGGGGTTTAGGGTCAGTAAGAGAATTTTAATGCCATAATAGCTCTTCTTTAATAGAGAATTTCTTTTTTGATGTGTTAACCATCAAATACAGGAATTGCCATGCTGAAAGGGAAATAATTGACTATGTTAAGCTGAATCGATGTTTTTCACTAAAAATTAGAAAAAGAATGTGAAAGTGAACAGGTTGGTTATTATACTGCTTAAACTTCTCTGTAAGGAGATATTCTATTTCACTTAGGAGACAATTGACAAATAAGTAATGCCTGTAATTATTATTATTACCAAACAAAACTTATCCATAGGGCATATGGATAACTTACTTAAACAAATACGTAGATAGACAATTTTTTTACAAGAAATTTATAGCCCAGTTCAAACAGACAGTATCGTTAACTTTCATATAACACATATGGGGTGATACTGTAAAGTTGAAGAAATAAAATCTTGTAAGTGTTGTGTAGGGGACTGTCTAGTAATATGCCTTCAGGTAGGACTCTGGAAGGGAAAAGAATTGCCAGGTAACAGATGTAGTTTGTGGTATAAAGACCGGAATGGAAGATGAGAAGAAAGAGATAAGGAGTCTGTTAAGGAGAAAGTTTGAAACAACTAGTAGAACTGAGACCTTCCATGGTCTATAAATGAAGTGGAATTACTCTGGGTATCCCTGAAAGCGAGAGGAATGTGAAGCTGAAAGTAACAAGTGCTAGCAAAAAGGCTACAAATTGGAAATGACAGTGTAGAGAGAGAGGAAAAAAAAAATTATGAAGGCAGACTAATATGGCAGAAGTTGAGATGGATAAGGCAAAAGATACAGCTACAGAGAAATATTATATTGCTGATGCTTAAGAAAGAAGCTTTTGTAAGTACTGCAAACAGAACCAGAAAGGAATGAAAACATTTTTACACAGAAAAGGAAAGACCAGACCAGTACTGATAACCACATGGAGGTTGAGCACATGAATGATGAGTGGGATCGCAGAACAGTGAATGGTAACAGGAAAGGAAGGACATGACAAATTTGTGGAAAAAAGCAGGATTTTTTTTCCAAGTTGAACTTGAGTTTTTTTGCGAGACAGCTAGTAGTCTGAAAGAAAGCATGCTGTATCTGACTACCTCCAGAAGAGTAGCTGAAACAGAAGAAATGGATGAAGTTGCTCAGTGAGAATATAAAGAAGAAAAACGAGAGAATCATAAACAAAAGTGTAGGAACTATCACTAAAAAAAGCAGTGGCTGAGGTACAGAAAATTTGAGAAACAGGAAAAGTAAAGAAAGGAGTGACCTTTTTATTAAGGAAACAACAGCAGCTTAACTGAATGGATATTTTCTTTGAAAAGATGTATCTAGGTCTCTAGGTAATAAGATACCTGGATATTTCCAGGGTATTAGTGATATCTGGAAGAGAATGGAAGCTGTTGGTACTCTTATATTGGATTTGCTTTTTATTTTAAAGAGCATATAAAAGCCAAATTGACACAGACCTTTAAGTAATTAGATTAGGAAATCTGAGTTTATGAAGAAGCACGGTACTGAGAAGAAGTTACTTGTTTTGAAGAAAAAAAATCAAAATGAACAAAATCTTTTGTTGTGGTCTCCTACTCTGGCAATGAAAGCATCAGAAAATTGATTGGGTCTTCATCTGTGCAGGCTGATTAAAGCATAACCCTATTGTCTGGAACAATATGGAAGGCAGCTAGAGGAAATAAAATCCACAGAAAACAAAACACACTTAGTCAAAAAATATACATATGTATCAAGATATTGATGTCTTATGCAATAATTACAATGAAATATTAAAACACAGAAAAGAGTCACATGTGAAAACTAGTAAGATTTTGCTATTAAACAGCGTAGCATTCTAACAGAAATTGCCTAAGAAACATAGGGGAGCATTGAGGATGCTGTAGTAAGTCCTTACTCAATTGCTTTGACATACATTTCAATCTTGGTAGCATTTTCATTTGATTTGCTTTGTCAAGCATGGAAGAATTATGCCAAAGATTGCATTAAAATGGAAAATTCTTTGTTTTTTCCAATTTTATTTTGATCAAACCAGCATAAGCTCCTGTTGAGTAACATTTAGAGGGATTTAATACTCAGTGTATATATGCACTACAACGTTACATTCTACTAGCAATTTAGATTAACTGTGTGCATTTATAATGTTAACAAAGTCTTTAGTGAAATATTATTTTTGAGCTCTTGTTTTGTAGGCCAGGCTGTGTCGGAAGAACAGAACTCTGCAGTACAACATGCATATTATATGACTTCGATGGAAAATTTCTTACCTCCAGCAACTAGCCCAGACTCTCCTAACTGAATTGCTACCCCAAAACCACCAAGCTTTACTGGGGCTGAATTCTCTTTTGAGGCAAGCAGTACACAGTGTGGCTGAAAAGACAAAAATCCAGACAAATTATTATATTATTTGAGAAATACAATTTGCATTTTAGAACTTATTTTCATACATTTGCAAAACAGGAGCTAGAATCTTTGGGGGTTTTTTGAAAGATTTTCTTAATTTCAGATTTTTTTTTCTGGCATGGACGACTCCTCCTTCATTGGCTTCCCTTTCAAATGTCCCAGGCACAGCAAAATCCTTCCAGGACTTAACAGAACTCGCAAAGAACAAAGTGAAATCATAATAAAATGGAAATTAACGCCTATAATTTCTTAACTGGTATTACTTTTTCTTTTTACTTTCCACCCTTAAGCCTTACACTGTTTCAATTCTCCAGCAGAAACATCCTGCCTATGATACACTTTGTGGGATCTTATCCTTCACACAGAGAACATAAAACACTATTTTGAGCCTTAATCACAGAATTCACTGGTCACTTTCCAACTGCAGAAAAGAAAAGGAACATCCCTGTGATGTTTCTAATAAATATTGCAGCGAGAGGGAAATTGTTTAGGTTTCTAAACTGGATTCCAGGCACACTCTTTCAACTAATAAGAGTGAGGTGTAATGTGTAAAAATGGAGTAGTATTATACAACAATTTGGACGGATACCGACTGGTGTATGAGGAAGCAACATACAGACAAAATCTATTTGAACACAATTTAGCATTTAATACACACAGCCAGACTACTGCATTTAATGTAGAGTGACTTCCTGCATTTACTCAAAGCTTCCCTTTGCAGTCAACCATATTATTTAAAAGGAAGAATGTCAAACTTGTATACTGCTTCTTGAGAACACATTACTGCTTAAATTACAAAACCAGGAACTCAAAATAATGCAAAGGAGCTACAACAAGCTCAGTCTGACTACCTGTAAAGTCATCATCTGTAACCACCCATGTCTTCTTTTAAAAAGTTTCTAGTGTATGAGAACAAGCACCTTCAAGTAAGAATGCATAGCCTGTTTACAATTCTAACCGAAATCTGCAGAATCCCATAAAAGCTTGATTCCTAAACAGACGATATATTAAGAAAGTTAACGTGGAAAGTCTCATTTCAAATGCTAAGGAGAATACTAAGTCAAGACAATGTTCTTGAGATGATCGTTAAATTTAGGCTACCTTCTATCAGAACTTCTAGGATCCATTTATACATTTGCAATTTATAAATGTAATTTTCAATCCTTTACATCCTATTTAAAATAGTATTACCAGGTGGTATCATCTCTGAATATTTTATTTCACTTCTGCCTTATTGAAATTGTTAAGCTGCACACTTTGGGCACTTTCACATTCTCTCATCACTGACATTTTGTGTGAAAAAGATCAACCTCAAATTTCTAACCCCAGGCAAGGAGGATGATAGATGGAAGAACTACACCAACATAAGCAAAATGTACCATTTCACTGTGGTGTTGATTTCTCTTTACTCCACATTTGAGAAAGTGATACTATTTCCATGACAGCATTAAAAAGAAGACAGGCTGTACCAACATAATTGTCATTCAAAAAGGAAGCCACTGACACTGCTCACCAGAAACAGTTTATGAGAAAAAAAACCCCCAAATCTCCAATTCAGAGTGAAAATCAGAGAAAACTTTATTATAGAACCTCTTCCAGCAAAGCCCAAATTAACAGCAAAATTGATCTTTTTAATAGACTGAGTTTTGCTAGTTAAAAATATCTTAAAAAAACCCCAGTTGCAACACTAGCAAAACTTCCCCTTGTTGCTAATTGTACTGTGTCAGCTGATTCTCATCATTTTCATAGAGAAGCTGGTACTTTAGCTTTCTAATAAGAGGACTTGCATGTTACTCCTCCCTGTCTTCACCAGCGGTTTTGAAAATCAGCAGAAGTTCTCGATATATAAATGGTAAGTGGCTGCTTTTATATTTAAGCTATAGTAAACCAAATGTTTATTAAAATTTCTCTTAACTGCAAAGGTACTGCTGACCTTCAAACCCTTTCTTAAATATACCTATGTTTAAGCATGCCTGCTTGCTTACAGATGACAAAACTGATGATAGCTAAAGGTTATGTTTCTAATGTATCTGCAGTGTAATTAAATTTTTATCTCTCTCATCAACCTAGAACTTGTCACTACTTATGCAACTCATGATGTCGAGCATTTTTATAGAAAAGCAACATAAACAAGAAATTATAGTAGTAGATAGGTTTCAAGATGTATTTGAAAGCATGTTTTTTTAAACAAACTTTTAAAATCAATTCTTGCCCTGACAATATGAAATGCCAAATATGAAACCAGAAATACTTTAAAAACTGCTAACATATTGTACAAATTAAATGCAATTGTAAGGTTAGCTAATGTAGGATGTTAAAATGTTTTAGACTGTCTCTCAATAATTCAGATTCTGTATGTACATTAGGTCTTACTAAGAATTTTACCTAAAATGCTGCCATTTTCACTGCTGTAGCTATATCACACATTTAAGTGTAAATTTGCATTTTTAAGACGTGGCATGCAAATTTTGTTGTTTTTTTCTTGTTACTGTTGTTAGACAACTAACTTCATAGTACCAAAACCAATTCTGAAGATATTGTGATACTAGGGGAAAAAACCTTGCCCCTTTAAAAAAAAAAAAATCTAAACAAACTTATTTATGGAATCTTTTATCGCTATGCCATACAAATTGATGACAAAAGTGGTATCGTTACTCATCAGTCTTAACCATCTCTCTGAAGAGCTCATTGTGATTCCACTCTCCTAACCACACACTTTTTTGGTTTTCCTTCTTTCCTCAAAGCTGACTTTTATCTTCCAAATTGTACCTTCCTGGATAGAAATAAGCTTAGTGAAATTAAAAACGTTGAAATGAAAACAAGGAAAACAATGAAAACAAAGAAGATGTGAAAACAATCTGTCACTGCATTAATGTGGTTTCCAGCTAATATTAGTTTCTTTGCATAATATTGATTTTTGAACAGTCAAGAAAAGGAAAAAATACTAAAATTTACATGAAGATATAAATTATTAAAAACAAGCTACTTGTAATAGTACTGATCTCATAGTGTTACTTATAACAGATTACATAGCCAAATAAATATTAATTGACAATTGCTTTTCTAATTGAAAACTATGACTTGCATGCAAGAGATCCTGGGTACTTATTTAAAATTAATTCTGATGAGTTTAGAATTGTTTTGATATATTCCTATGTACTTTGTATCAACACCGAGAATACTTCACTTAGCTATGCTTACCCTTTTTTGCATCTTAATTTAAAAGTTTACTGTGTCAGAAAGACTAATCCTAACATTAGAACTTAAAAAAAAAATATTCATACTTAGAGATAAAACAACAAATTTAAATTTCTAAAATTTGCAGCAAAACATAATAGTTGATTTTTAAAACAATACAAGGCAGTAATAGATGTAATTACAAAAATAGTTATCTGTGTGAGTGCTCTGTACCATCTGTTCTTGCCTACTTCACGTGAAGAAAAACAGGGAACCGATTATTCTAGACTTACACTGTATCATGATATCCGGCTGAAAGTCCTTCTTCTACTCAGCTACAGCGATACTTCGGTGCATTTACTTTTTTTAGTTATTGCCTTTTACGTTTGTATCACATAAGACTGTATGCAATAAAGCAAGCAAACACGTGAAAAATGGCCCCGTGGCGATCTAATTCTTAAAAATTCTCTTTGCATCCCTACAGAACAGCTAAAAAAATCCTCACAAATGGCTGCAGCTTCAGCTGATTTACTGACCGTTCTGCCATACGAGGAAGTCTTCTGGAGTAACCAAACTAATCTACCCACAAATGCCTCAGAAATTCAAAACAATGCCAGTTGTCCCTTAGACGACAACTCACTGTCACTTGCTTTGATAGTTTTTTACTCTGTTATTTTTGTCATTGGATTGGTTGGAAATATTATAGCCCTGTTTGCTTTCCTGTGCATTCATCAGAAAAGGAATTCTATCCAAGTTTACTTGCTAAATGTAGCCATTGCAGACCTTCTGCTGATCTTCTGTCTTCCTTTCCGAATACTCTATCATGTTACCAAAAACACCTGGATGTTTGGACTCATTTTATGCAAGATCGTAGGAACTCTATTTTATATGAACATGTATATTAGCATAGTACTGTTGGGACTAATTAGTCTAGATCGTTATGTAAAAATAAATAAGTCTGTGAAGCGTCCTAAAATGTTAACTACCACACGAAGTATACATATTTGTTGCATGGTGTGGGCACTTGCACTAACAGGATTTATAATAGTAGTTGCACCATCTTTCTTTACGAGTGAGGACAGCAATTCTACTATGTGCTTTCATTACCGAAATAAACAGAATGCAAAGACAGAAGCAATTTTAAATTATATTATTGTAATAATTTTTTGGATAGTTTTTTTCCTTTTGATACTTTCGTATGTTAAAATTGCCAAGAACCTTCTGAAAATTTCGAAGAAAAGAGCAAATTTTCCCAACTCAGGAAAATACACCCAGACAGCAAGGAATTCCTTCATTGTACTCATTATTTTCACCATCTGTTTTGTTCCTTACCACATGTTCCGGTTTGTCTACATTACATCACAGTTACAAAATCCATCTTGTTATTGGAAGGAAATAATTCACAAATGCAATGAGGTGATGCTCATATTTTCATCTTTTAACAGCTGCTTAGACCCAGTTATGTATTTCCTAATGTCCAGAAGTGTCCGTAAGACTGTATTCCAACTTATTCGCAGAAGAATTCATGGTGATTCAGGCCTAACTCTGGAAAGCACGTCAGAAGTAAAACTTGGACAATATACACAAGAGCGATTATCTACTACCACTCCCCACCAAAGTTCTTTAAAGAAGTCGTCTCTGATTTGATTGTGTAAATGAATGGATACTGGTTTCTCTCTGTCACTCCAGGACATCAATTTAAGATGTACCAAAAGCAATACTGTACAGCTACTAAACCTGCCTCTTTCTTCCTGTTAAAAAATGAGAAGTCTTACTTCTGTTTGTGAAAA